TTTGGACACTTCCCAGTTGTACACTTGACCACTTACTGACCCTTCCTTTACATTCTGTGGAGTGTTTTTTTTTTAAGAGAAAGACACTTGTTTTTTGGCAGGGTAGGGGATGGGGATGGAGAAGTGAGTGTCGTAGAGGTTAAGTGGATTTCCTCATATAACATAATGCATCTTTAGAATCTGATTATGAGGAAGCCAGGACTGCAAGGACTAAGGGTTCCCAACTCAGTGATTCTGTCTCCAACCCTGAAAACCTATGCCTTGTTTATAGCTATTGTGCTCAATGCTGTTGAAATATGTAACCATAGTTTGTGCTGTTCAAAAGGGCAGCCACTGGCCACATGTGGTTATTTAACCTGAAATTAAATTTAAATACAATAAAATGTTTACTTTTCCTGTTTCACTAGGTATGTTTAAATTATCCAAGTATTAGTGCAGATAAAGAACACTTCTATTCTGCAGAAAGTTTTATTGGATAGCGCTGGAGGATTCTTGTCCTAGCTCATGATAAAATATTTAGGCTGCTATCTCCTGGTGGAAAATTCTCATGAATAAGTGAAATGTTGAAAATTTATTTTTGTTTTTTCCTTTCATGTCCTTGTGTTGTCACTGTGCACTGAGGGCAGGGAGTTCACAGATGGCCCTCAGAAGCCTCCGCCAGCTTGCTCTAAACTCCAGGCCCCTCCACCCCTCGCTTCAGCCACAGCAGCCCTGCTAATATCTGTTTTACAAATTGGAGTTTCCTGGTAGCACATCTTGTGCACAAATGGTTGTTTCTCTTAAATGATTGGAAAACTGCCCTAGTCGATTGAGAGAGACCAGACCGGTTTGGGAGGTGGATAAAAAGAAGTCACAACATTTTGGGACTTCCTCCTTTAGCACACCATGCCCCCAACTTAATGGCTATCTTTATGGGTAAATGCTCAGTTAAGTATCATAGACATCTAAGATGGCTAGAACTGAGAGCAGGGTGTTGTCAGATAAGCCCGAAAGAAGCAACCTGATAAACAATGAGATAAACAATGATATCTAGTTTTCTAGTGACAGCAGGTTTTTGTTTTGTTTTGTTTTAAGTTCTATGGAGATTTTGTTTAATCTCTTTCCCTTTCTCTCCCTCTTTTCAGAATAATGATTTGATTCTTTAACTCCCTTCTAGAGTGAACGATGTAATTTTTTAAAATTATTTTTAAACTTATGAACCCATGGATTTTAGTAGTATGTGTTTTCAGTGAATTGTAGCTACTGTTGCCCTTGTTGCCAGATTTTCCTACATTTAGTTGATGGGGCCTCATCACCTTGGCTCCTTGTTTTTGGATATAACCTATTAGTTCCTGAAAGTCTCGCCGCTTCCTCATATCACAAGATTTTGCACACTCATTTTGCATATTTCCTGCATAAAACCTACAATCATTCACTTTGCTGAGGGACCAAGGGTCCTATTTTTAAAGAAAGAAAAGTTCCATTTTGCCTTTTTTTCTGTTATGTTAACACAATCTGTAGGAACACATACCACAATACAGAAAGCTGAAAAAAAAAATCCTTCAGATTCATATTAGTTTGAATATGAAGATACTTGTTACAGGAAAGGGTTCCAATGTTAAATTGAAGAGAAAGAGTTGTGTCCATGCAGCTTATGGGATCCCTTGAAACAGTGACCTGTGAAGGCTTTTAGGCAAGTGCACTCTTTGTTATCCCATTTCCAATCACGTTGTGCACCCTGGCCCTCTGAACTGTCAGCTTCTGTAGCCATGCAGGTACAGAAATACAAAAGTAGATATTCGGCTAATTGAAAATCAACAAAATTATTGTTCCTTAAGATCTTTGTCCCCTGAGCAATAAGAGACCAGAGAGTTTTATATATATATATATATATATATATATATTTTTTTTTTTTTTTCGTTTCACTTTAAACTTAGCTACGTGGTTCAGTTTTATATGCATGTCCCAGTTAAGGAAAGACGCAGAGGGCAAGGCATATCAAAATCCAATAGGGGGCTATTGGACACATGCAGAATCATTTGTGATATAAGCTAAACCATGGTACTTTTAATATCTCTGAACCTCTTTTCCTGCTCTTTTCACTGCAAAGTGCTTGGCAACCCTTTCTCTAGGCTAATAGAAACTGCTTGTAATATTTGCTCATCCTCATTATTTTCGCTGTCAGTGTTTCCTTAAAAATCCATTTCCCATTTTTGTTCTAAAATTTAAACTCCACATTACTGATATGCAAGCCAGCATTTCCCTTTTGGCAATGTTGCCAAGTAATAAACAAGATATGGAGTGGAGATTAGCTGGAATGAACATCTAGAATAGGTCTTATCTTCACACCTCTGATCTCCTTTTGTCATATCCGGGCCAAGGACATATATAGCCCATTTCAGGATAAATATATATGTTCTCTAGCTGCATTCATTCCTAGATCCTAGTACCATTTTAAGTCCAGAGGTAACATTTGTAGGTTCATTTGGAAGAATTTGGTCTTCTTATGCCACTTTAGTCGGGTAGAGGAAAAAGCCAAATCACTTCTTCCCTGAGAGAGCATTTCATGCGTCTCCATCTCCGTGATCGCACCGAGCCATCACAGAGCAGTTGGCTCTGATACGCTTGCACAGACACAAATTGAGTCCGACAGGACTGACGTCTCCTGGACTTTGCTGTCATTTGAAATGCTGGCATGAGGACAGGAACAGTGCAAGGGGGAGGGGAGCAGAGCGGATTCCTTTAGCACTTTTCCTATGAAGTTTTGAGAATTTTAGCTTTCGATAGCTGTGAACTGCCTGATAAGTTATTTTCCCAGTGTGATTAATAACAATAGCAGATTTGGGGCATCTGGCTAGCTTTTGGTTTCAAGTGGATGTGTTTCAATATCTAACTTGCTGCTTCATGCCACCTGCCAATTGGTTAAAAATAAAAAGGGCTAGGGAGTGGATGGGTAATTACAATGATCCCCCACCTTTGCATTTAGTCTTATCTTTCCTGCATTCAAAGGACACATGCATAGTAATGAAAAAGATAAGATCTTTTAAAAAATTTTATTCCCAGGCTCAAGCTCAGTTTCAGAAAAGACGGCTTATAGTATCTGCGCTATAATACTTTTTCAAGTACAAGTTATTTTAGCGGATTAGGTTATTTCTGGATATCTCTAGTATTTCCTGTCAAGAATTTTGTACGTGTTTCAGATATTCCAATATACAAATCTTAAAGGTATACGGTTTCATTTGGCACAGGAATTCTGATTGTCATGCTCAAGTTTTCACCATGATAGAGGAAGCAATAGAATTCAGTGCTCTCTCTATATATTCAGAGCCTACTCTGTGTAAGATGCTGTGCTAGATTTGTTGAAGCTTCCTATAGGAACAACTATTTATCAGCCGAAGAGTCATACTTCAAATTAGTGCTTGGAGCGTCAGTCATGGCTTCCCTTCTCTTCAGCTCCCACCATCACCCTGTGGTCTGTGTTACTTTTCACCTGGGACTCTCACTCTGGCCTAATAGTGCCACATTTACGTGTCAGCTCATCTTCTCAAAGCCCATTCCCTTGCTTCTGCTCAGAAACACTAAGTAGCTTTATTTGTGGTTTGCTGTGGAAAGGCTGCTTGACTTAGATTGGCATTCAGAGCTCACCATGACCTTTTCTTTTCTCTTTTCTTTTCTTTCCTTGCCTTTTCTTTTTTCTTTGTTTTCTTTTCTTTTCTAGCCTGAACCATTTTGTTTTGCCTCATTTTTTTCTGCTTTCCTAATGAATTCATCACTCCAACCCAGCAGTCTCAATGTGGTCCCTGCACCAGCTGCATCAGCATCACTCAGGAACTTGTTAGACTCCCATCACAGACCTAGTGGACCACACATGGGGTGGGTGAGGGGGGTGCCGAGCTATCTGTTTTTTTGTTTTTTTTTAATTTTTTTTTTTCACCCAGCTATCTGTTTTAACAAGCTTTCCAGGTAATTCTGATGCATATGGAAGTTTGGGAAGCCCTACTCCAGCCAAACCTGGACACTCATCTTTTCCAAAGTTCCTTTCCCACCACCCTGCCTTTGTACAGAATTCCTGGAATGCTTTTCCCTCTTCTTGGTTAAATCCTTCCTGTACTCCCAGGCTCACTTTGAGATACCACTTTATCTAGGATACCATTCCTGATCCTATCTTTTATGGCATTATTTGGTTTTCCTTCCTGGCACTCATCACTTATTAACTTATACTAGTCATCTGATGTGTCTGTTTTATTTTCCCTACTAAACTGGAAAGTTACAGAGGATAGAATCTGACTCATTTTTGTACTTCATGGCACTTTATACTAAGTGCATTTGCACGCAGTAGGCTCTCTAAAAATAGTTTGTGGCTTATTGATTTTACATAGAAGATTGAGAAAACTAAGCTATTGCCCAGGAGACATATAAAAATCCTGTTAAGTCAAACAGGCTCATGCTAACTATTGTTTTGACTTATTGAAGCCAAACTAGACTCGAACATTGATGTGTCTTCAGGGAAGAAGCCAAATGCGCTAGTGTAAAAAATCCTAACCTCTCCTATTTAGCTGGAGAAGTTGAATTAGCCCTGTCACTTCCCCTCGTGCCAAGAAAGCAGCTTCCATTATTCTGTCAATAATAGACTTTTATCCAGCACGGTGGTGCTTCTCTTAAATCTTTCTCATAGTGTTGCTGTGCTTTCTTCCACCGATGTATTCATGGAGTGTTTCATGAGAAGTGACAGTTGCTTCTCACAGTGCTCTGCCCAAAAGGTGGCATGAGCAGAGAGTGGAATTCAAGGTGGTTGTCTTTAGGAGAGCCCGACAATGGGAACAAGATGTGCTCGGGCCGCCCCATTTAACAAACCAAGTTACTGCCCTTCTCATACAAAGGCATCCCAGTTACAGTTCTTGTGTCTCTACAATGGATTGTGTCTCTCGTGGTGGTGGTGGTGGTGATGGAACAAGGGGAAGAGAGTAAGAAACCTAAGTGTCTCTTTTCTTTCCTTTATTTCCCTTCCTCTGCCCTTGCAGGCTCTGAAAGAGTTCCAGCTGAAATTCCAGACCGGACGGACTCGCTGCCACTTCAGAGGCGGTGACCCCAAACTGCCGGTGCTCGCTGCTGCCGAGCTGCAGGATGGTGCACGTCGCCAGGCCGCTGTTGCTGCTCCTCGCTCTCTTCCTCCGCGCGGACGCCGACAGTAAGCCGTTTTCCCTTCTCTGCGGGGCTGAGACCAGAATGAGTGGTTTTGTTTGCAGTGGCACCAGGCTCAGGGCCTCTGAATACGTTTCCTTTGGAAGTAAATCCTGAGACACTGTGGGATCCTCCTTGGCTACCGGCCAGCCTTTGAAAGAGATTATTGACGTGACTTCCTTACCATTTCCTCTCGCTCTTAATGCCCCTTTTCTTGTGCATCTCACTGCTCCTACTGTTTTGTCTTTTTTTTTTTTTTTGATAGTCTTACCAGCCCGGTGGCAAAGATACTATGAGACCGATGACATAACTCAAACTGGGGTTAACCAGTTGGTGGTGCCAATAAGTAAACACCGTTCAGACCCATTAGAAATGTCTTTCGTTTTGTGGATATTTCTATGTCTAGAAAAATGCACAATGTCACATTGAGCCCAATTAAACTTCCAAGCCCCTTGTAGCTGTCATAGCAGCTGTTCTAATGTACTGTTTCCGACAGCTGTCGTCGAGTACAGTATTCAAACAAATCAAGCAGAACTGACAACTTTGTGGCCGGGTGAAGGGCGTGGAAGTGTGAGGAGAATTCTGTGGAGTACAGACACCGAAGTTTGGTTTATTGGACTCAATTTATGAAACTGAGATTGTGGTCGATTAGCTTGCCAATTAATGAGAAGATCGTATCTCCTTTGTAATTAGGAAATCATTAGGTCTACCTTGTTTACATATGTTTCTTTTCCCATCTGGCCCATGGCCTTTTGGAAGAGATAGGACTGGAGAAACGCATGTCTCTGGCTTGGGCTCTCTGACATGGCTGGTTTCTTCGCAGTGGTGTAGCTCCTGAGCGAGTTGGCTATTCTCTTTGGGAGTCCCCTGGTACTATGAAAATGTATAACATCTGCAGTCATTAACTTTTCCCTCTGCTGACTATTTCAGTAAGATTAAATTTGATTCATGCTGAGGATGTTTCAAAGACAAAGATCCTGTGTCATGTTGGCCCCTACCTATTAATTGAATTCTGACAAAAATTTCTTCAATAGCCGCCAATTTCTTTGTTTAAACAGGGGCTCTGTTTTCTAAAGAGAGTTTTCTAGGAGTGAAAGGAATCACCTTAATAACAGGATACATATGGGACATGCATGTATTAAGCACATTCTCTGGTTAATAATGTATATAGTCTCCTAATTAGCACTTGAGAGTGTTGGTTTAAGGTGACGCCAAGGAATGTCTAGGACAATGCCAGCAAATAATTAACTGGGAAAAGACCCAAGTGAAAGATGCTCTTGTTAGTTTAAAGCCATTTATGTCAAAATCTATTTTAAAGTTGTAATCTAAATTTAGTTTATTAAAGAAATCAGGCATATGGCTTTATTTTTCTGTTTTGGCTAGAATGAGAGAAGTATGTTGTTTTACAATTGTTAATTTTTGGCAAAAGCCTTTCAGCACCCTGGGAATCCACTTTTATTTCAGATCGCAGTTAGAGATTTCCTTAAAGTTACCAGATATAATTGTCATACATCCATGAAGTTATCCTTTCGGATAAGTAGAAATGTTCTTCTACTGAGCAGCTTTACTTTTGTTTAAATCTCTGGTGGAATGTGGCAGACAGATGTCAAGTACTCTTAAAATTGTTTTAAAAAACAATCTACACTACAGATGATCATCACCTACTCCTTTCCCTCGTGCTCCTCTCCTTCTCCTTCTCCCTCCCCCTTCACCACACTTCCTTTATAGCAGCCTTCCAAAAGGAAAAACAGAGGCCACATTAGCAACTTTTCCTTAAGATGTTTACCGGGTTATATATTTATATAACAGCTTTCAACCTCAAGATGTAAGCTGAAACAGAATCCATTCTCTCTCACTCTTCCCATGGCAACTGAAGAAAGGGGACAGACTTTGCCAGATTAATTTGTTTAGTTTTGCCCAGGTCTACTCAGCCTTGCTTTAGTATGTTCTCCCTTTAGCAGATTCATTTGGCATTGTTGAATAGGATGTGTAACCTGAGAGTTTTTGGTGAGAGGAAAAATTGGCCATATTTTTTAAGGTACATTTTGAAAGAAGAAAGAACATCCCTTATCAATCTGTCGGAGGATATTCGTGGTACATGAAAACACATGGTACAGTTGGGGATGTGATTTTAGTCATTTAAGGATGTTTAAGGAACAACTGGGAAAATAGGATCTAGATTATAACCTGCTAAATTATGCCACTACCTTTTCATCAAACACTGAAAAAAACCCAGACACCCTAAGTAGCCCTGAAGAAGAATTAGATTTTTTCATCATCATATAAATGTAGTATTGTTGAAGCTTCCACTAGTGGGTTCACTGGTTTGTTACTCTATGCTTTGATTAGCCCATGTAGCCATATTTGTTTTTCCTTTTACCTAACTGTATTTGGCATTTATACAAGGAATCAGGAGTTCTATTTCAAAATTTAATAGTAGCTTGTCAGAGCCATTTGAGAACTATGAAATAATTTTTAAAAATGCGTTTGCCCTTTTGAGAAAGAGGACTGTGTGGGGGTGGGGAAATGAAAGAAGCCACTCTAGTTTACCGTGCTAATTTAATGTGTTCTGCTCATTGCCTTTTGAAATGATTAACTCCAAAGAGCCAAGGAGTCAGGATTATCATCTGCTGTGTGGAAGTCATAGTAAAGTGCTGGGTGTGATGTTGCATTAAGTAGGAGAGCTCTTAGGAGCCTTGGTTCAAACCCAGGTTGAAAAATTGTGATAATATCCCTTTAGCAGAAAATTGTAGTCTTTGCCATTGCCAATTTAAAATGCCCCACAGATCCCCACCATTATTTTAAAAGGCTGGATATATGCATGGATCTTACTTCTTTTCATCTGTGTCTTGAGTGCTTGAAATGATTTTGCTTGTTGTTTCTTGAATGTGTGTACACATGGTAGAGCCGTGGTCTCAGTGTGACTTCTGTTTGAGCACAAACAGTAGTTCTTCCTCATGTCAGTCCAACCAGTTTTCTGGCTTAGGTGGTGGTCCTATTGAGGTTCATTCTGGTTTAAGCTGTAGTCCGATTGAGGTCAAATTTTGTCTTAGGCAGTGGTCTGATTGAGGTCAATTCTGTGATAACATGCATGCAAATTAAAAGTAAATTTATATTAGCGTTTTCCTGAAGTATTTTTCTTTTGGCTGAATTTTCGTAACAGTTTTGGTAGTTTTATTTCACGTGTAGCTTTAGATTTCTATTCACTAGTCTTTTTTTTTTTTTTTTTTAACCTAGGTGTGGGCTACAAACCTGCTTTTAACACCTTCTTTCATTAAACTGGTTTCACTCTAATGAAATCACTTACGGCTTACTGTTGCATTCTGGACTTGAGTTTACACTTTGACAACTGTAATTTGACCTGAATTCTTATTGGATCTTCATTAGAAACACAACTTTTGATAGTTTAATTCCTCAAATGGCTTAATTCATCCATTTTCTGTTGCTTTTTGCATTTTTCCGTCTCAGATGGTGAACGCTCCCTCATTTTCCTCCCTTGTTGTAAGGACCCTTCCTTAGTCCCTGTCTACTCACTGTATTCCTATCCTGTAGGAAAGCAATTAGTTTTCCCCCCTCTTTGGTATTGTATCACTGTGTCTGTTGGCATTAGAGAACAGGCTGGCATCTCGGCACTAGGGTAACAATTCTTACCTTATGTATTTCCTGATGGGCATTGTGGGGTAATGGTTGAGAAAGTGAGCTCTAAAGCCAGAGTCTGGTTTTAAGTTCTGGCTGTCATCTTTAATCTGGAGCATGATACACCATGCTCTTTATCTCAGTTTCTCGGTCTTTAAAATGTGAGTGATGATGATGATGATAATCACGATGATTGTATAGGAGAGGGCCTACTCTTGGGCTTTGTGAGCATTGAATGAGTTAATGTAAAACACAAATCAGCAGATGGCACATAATAGGTTTTTAATAAATGTTAGCTGTTATTATATCATTATTTCAAAAACATATAGCCAACATTGTTGTTGAGCAGTTCTATGAGGTGGTGTGCTAAAACGCTCTTTTATTTGACCTACAGATTATCAAAATTTTGGTGGTTGGTAAACCAGGTTTCCTCATACCATGTTAATGACCTAGCTTGCTTCTCTATAAAGACCCATACATAAGAGATTCTTGAAACTCTTGTCCTGTGAATTAAACTGAAGATCAAGAGGAAAAATTATGAAGCATATTTAGTCAAGCTAGTTAAGCTTAAAAAAAAACAGCTCCTCTCTCAGAATTACCGATTTAAAGTTAATTTGGCTGGGGCCTAATTAATGGAAAGTGTTCCATCCTTCTGTTGCTTCTTGTAATGCATTTTTTTTTTGAGCTGCTCAGAGAGAGTAGTTATAGATATTTACTATAGGCAAATACTCTAATATAGGGGCCATTGGACAGAAACTGGAGGTGGAGGTGAGCTTGGTACAGAAGAGAGTAAATGGCTTTTGATATGGTCATAAATTATTCTGTAAGAAAAAAATAAGGAAAATAATTAGATTAAAGGGCAGGGCAAATTGTTCCTTTTGCATTTTGCAGAATCACTTCTGAGGAGTAGCCTAAGTCATATAGTTGGACCTTCCAAGATGAGGTCAGAAATGGAGACGATGTCTTTCTTATGTCATCAAAATGCACACCTCTCAGCAGATAGGCCATTTCACACTGAGAACGTTAATATTCATCAAAAAATACCTTTTTTGTTTTTACTTTAGATTGTGACTATTTGGGTATATATGTATATCACAAATCATTTAAACCATCCTTTAAAAGGTAAATTGCTTGGGTGATGAAAATGTTCTAAAATTAGATTGGAGTGATGGTACTAACTGAGTAAAAACATACTAAATGCCATTGAAATGTACACCTTAAGTGGGTGATCTGTATGTTGTGTAGATTATATTTCAATGAAACTATCAAAAACAGAAAAGGGAAACTGCTGCTTAACCCAGCAATTTGGTCAGATTCCGTTCAGTGTATGTAACCCGAAAAGAAAGTGTGCTGATTTCTTCAAGCCAGTTA